TAAACAATATAAACCATAATTTACTTGTTAATAAAGCAAAATTAATAAGTAAACAGTGATTTAATTATTGCGAAGAATAAAAGTACCAAACAGTTTTTTTGCTGAATGAGCCAAATGACCCAAATGGCTCATTTGCGGACATATGTTTATATAAAAAAAATGCTTGTTTTATTGTCCCTTACTACCCCTCAAAGTTTGTCGGTATCTTTTTGGGACACCCTGTATAAACGGGGGCCAAAATGTTATAGATTTTTAAAAAGAGGTATTCCGTTACCAAGCAAAACAACTATATAAAATTTGCTAAAACCGGTCCCTTTTGAAGCAGGTATAAATTCTCAATTTTTGACAAGACTATCATAGAGAGTTGAAAAACTAAATCCATTAGATAGGTGCTGTTCTTTGCACCTATGATAAGTTTAACGACAAGGTTATTGGATATATAGATCTAGGGCCCTTAGGACGTAAAAACCAACATGCAAATCATGCACTTACTTTTATGCTCAATGGCCTACATAAAAAATGGAAGCAGCCAGTTGCATATTTTTTTACTCGGGATACTATAGCAACATACAAATTAAAAAATTTAATCAAAACCTTTATTATAAAATTAGAGGAGATTGGACTAAATATTTTATGTACTGTTTGCGATCAAGGACCTACAAATCGTTCTGCTATAAATTTGCTTTGCAAAGAAGAATTTAGACCAGGAGGCGAACCACAAACAATCGCTATCGATAAGTTCTCGACAATTTCCCCTCACTTCTCACCTCGTTCACCCATCGCTCAACGTTAGTCGCCAAAATTGCCACCGCAAACGTTCCTTTTGCACCACAAACGAACGTTTGTGGTGGCTATTTTGGCGATTAACGTTGAGCGATGGGTGGACGAGGTGAGAAGTGAGGGGAAATTGTCGAGAACTTATCGATAGCGATTGTTTGTGGTTCGCCTCCTGGTCCCTATTTTACTGTCAATAATCAGAAAGTATTTACAATCTTTGACCCACAAAAAACACCAGAAATGCTCTTCTAAAATATGACATTAAATATAATAAATGTAAACTTGCAAAAATGACTCACATTAGACACTGTTTTTACATAGCCCATTGACGGGCGTGCCTGCATTTGCAGACAGGTGTCTAGGGACGCGTCTGTATTTGCAGACAAAAGTGGTAGTCCTCAAAACGTCGCGTCTGCGAAAGCAGACGCCTATGCTATTATACAATATGCGTGATTATTTTAAGTGTCCCAGTAAATAAAAAAATATATTGAGAAGTGTCCACACACGTCCATTTCATGGGAAAAAAATATGAAATAATATAGAAAAATTATAGTGTCCCCACGTGCTCCCCTTTTTCGCCTAGCGCCCGTCAATGTGATAGACAGGAAAAAAAGATTCCAAGCTCTTAGGCGTATCCGGGAAGAATATCTAAATCCCCAAAAAAATCGATTAAAAATGAAAGTTTCAATAGCTGCTAGAATTTTGAGCCATACTGTTGCTGCCACTATTGAAGAAATGGTTAGCAATCCGAAAAACAATTTACCATCACAGGCCATTGATACTGCAGAGTTTGTGCATGACATGGATCAACTTTTTGATAGTTTCAATGGTAGAACACCTAAGCCAGAGTGTGGAAAACTGTATCGTAGGTGTTTATCTGATAAATCTCCTCACTTTGCACTTTGGAATAAGCTTCTTTCAAAAATCAATAGTTGGGAGTTTATATCTCCATCCAAGTCTTCATCTGTGTCTGTTGCAAAATCCAGAATGCCATTTAAAACTGGTTGGTTAACAACTATAAATGCCGCAAAAGAATTGTGGAATGTATGTAGAAATATGGGTTTTAAATTTTTAAGAACGCGTTCTCTAAACCAAGACCCACTGGAAAATCAGTTTTCATCTATAAGACATTTTGGGGCAGGAAATACAAACCCAAATTGCTACCAATTTGTTAGTTGCTTTAAAACATCCGTTCTCAACAACTTAGTAACACCCGTTTCAAATCGAAATTGTGGGATGGATGGCACTAGTATTCTTGACAATTTGCAGAGTTTTTTAAATGCTGATATATTGGATTTTGTAAATTTAAAAAAATTAGAGTCTAATGAGATTGAAAATATAATACTACCATCAACCAATTTTGATTTTACAGACCATGATGCTAATACATGCACTTATGTAGCTGGATTTTTGATTAAAAAAATTAAATTAAATAGAGAATGCAAACAATGTGCTGCTAATTTGTTGTCAAAAACAGTCGAACTCCAGACTGTTTTACGTAACCAAAGAAATAATTATTTAGCACAAATTCACGACTGTGTTTTCTATATATTACCCAAATATGGGTATACCGGGTGACAATGGAACTACTACCCACGGCTGCATTTCTTAACGGCTCGACATAGAAATATGCAAATCCGTATGTCGATAGGGTCGAAAATTTTGAACAATTTTAATATAAAAACAACTGAATGGCTTTTCCGGATTCACCGGAAATGGCATTGATTTTGTTATTTTAAATGGGACACCCTGTATATTATCTTTTTTTCGGACTCTTTGAACAATTCTAAATAACTTTTGTCTAACATACCCTATGTCAAAAATTGATAGTTTTTGAAATAGAGTGGCTCAAAAATATGTGGTTATTCCTATTTGTTTGTATTTTACGTAAAAACTGAGTATGCCAGAACAAAAAGAACATGGCTATTTGCTCCTTATTCAAAGAGGCATTCGATAAGTTGCATATTTCTATCTCGAGCCGTTAAAAAATACCGCCATGGGTAGTAGTTTCATTGTCACCCGGTATATCATATTTAAAAAATAGGATTAAAATAATTTTGAAAAGTCATCTGGATTTTAATTGGTATACTTGTGTAGATCATAAAGAAATTATGCAAAGTGACATACTTGATGTTTCTATAGAACTTTTGATAAAAAAGTATTTCTAGAAATTTTAAATCAGACAAAAAAAACAGGCAAGATGAGAAAAAGTTAAAAAAGATGAAACACCTGTAAAAATGTATTTTTCTCTCTTAATAGAAATTTGGGTTAGGTTTGTTTTGCTAGTACGTAAGAAGAATTATTATTTTCGTTTGATATTTTTTGTTAATAATAAGAATATTATTCATTTTTATGTTTTTTTTTTTCTTTCTTTAAGAAGAAATTTTGGTTTAAAAATTAAGTTATTTGTTTGTTTTGCTAGTACCTAAGGAGAATTATGATTTTTGTTTTATATTTTTTCTTAATAAAAATTTATGTTGCTTTTATTACTAATAAAATATATTTTCAATTTATTTCAAAATTTATTTACTGCAAACAAAATTCAGATCAGAAGCATCCATTTAAATATCCCGCCTTTTTTCGGCTTGAAGCATAGGTACCTGCCTAATCGATTGATGGAACGACTGTAGTTCCTATTATCCCCCACTGGTGCGCTGGGTGCGCTTCGATCAAACGCTCTTCTTCTTTTTAGTACAGAATCGGACACTCTCCTTTATGTATTATGTTTCTCTATGGAGAGGTATTTCGTGCGTTTTCCCTTAATACCTATGACCCGGAAGGCTTATTTATTTACAATAGTTCCTGTCAATATAATATTTAAACTATGGTGATATTTTCTGACGAATTGGTTACTCAGATAGTTTCCCTTTTATTTCAGATGTGTCATCCCGAGCGACAGCCTGGGAAGCGCCCCATTTATTCGTTCACAATTCTAATTTATCCTTTTGTACTTTATGTTAATCAGTAATCAATATAACAATAATCGTAACGTAATTATCCATTAATTTACTTTGAAGTACCCCTCATAAATTTTCAGAAGTGGGATTACTCTCAAATAGTCAATAGCTCATAAAATGTCTCGCAATAAAACATTTAAAAAAAAAAAACAAAAAAAAGTATTGTTTTTTTTTTGACATCAAGATAATTGCATCAAAATAATCATGTCTTCTCGGCGTGCAAATAAACGACCACTTCCACTAGATGAGCCATCTAGTAGTCGTCATGGTAGAAATAACTCATCATCCAGGAATAGAAGACTTTCATCTGGAAAAAGTCGAAACCCTTCTCGTACCAGTGATGCATCTATCGATCGTTTAACGGTTGTAATTAGTACCCTTATTGAGTCTAATGCGAAGGAAAATACGCCAAGAGAGCGGGCTAGTACCCCTGCCGTGCGAGGGGTACCTGTATTTGACCCTGATGATAGAACCCAAACTGTTTTGGATTGGAGTCGAAAGGTTGACGAGTTGAGAGACATTTTTGAATGGTCTGAAGAGGCTACAATTTACTTTGCGATGACCAAACTGAAAGGTTTGGCTGAAGTTTGGTACAAGGGCTTACCAAGCGTAAAATTTTCCTGGAATGAATGGAAACAAAAGCTGGACCAAGGATTTCCATCTAATCGCGACTTCTTTGAAAAATTTCAGCAAATGATGGCTAGGACAAAGAAGCAGGACGATACGTACTGCAAATACTACTATGAAAAAATGGCTTTATTAAATAGCTGCGAAATTACAGAAGTCAAAGCAGTTTCGTGCCTTATTGCAGGCATGTTTGATAATGTGGTCAAAACTGGAGCTAAGGCAGGCCATCATCAATCACCTGAGTCCTTGTATGGATACCTTTGTACCTTGGATACTACTTCATCTGGCCCATCCAGAGGTCATGAGGTTGGTCGACATACGTCAAGACAAAAATCCGGCAATTTCAGAAGGGACAATAAAACTTCCAAACAAGTTACCACGATAACTTGTTTTAAGTGCCATAAACCAGGGCCCAAATCTAGTAGGTGTGCAGAAAAGGGAACCAATAATAATTTCGAAAAACGCTGCGACTATTGTCGACGTCGTGGACATGTAGAAGATGATTGTTTTTGGAAAAATAGAAAGGAGAAGGGAAATGAATAATTATGACTAGTAACGGACAAGGACAAGACCAATCAAAAATTTTATAAAGCCGTATATATCAATGGAATTTCATCTTTCGCCTACGTGGAAATCCAAATGGGTAGTTCCTGTACTACTATTCGTCAACAGGAAGCGGAACGGTTGGCTTTAGAAATTGATGCCACCAAGAAAACCGCTTTACATGGATATGGCAACGGGCGCACTCCTACAATAGGTACTACAAGTTTCCGAATTAAAGTGGATGATGTGGAAACAACCGTGTCTGCCCATATTGTGGCTAACGTAGCTCAGGAGATACCAATTTTGCTGGGCAGGAATTACACAGAACTCCCAGGCGTACTTGTCATCAAAGATGATATTGCATTGACATTTTTCAGCAGGAGCCTAGTAGAAATAAATGCAATAGAAACAGAACCAAATGATTCAAAAATTGTACTTCGGATTGCAGAAAACACTACAATACTGCCAAATCACTGGGGACATGTTCAGGTTGACAGCGATTCTTATGAAGGTGATCTCTGCATCGACGCTAGTGTCCGAATGCAAGAAGGACAAGAATATTGTATTTCTTATGTAATAATATCGATTAAAAAAGGAGAGCCAGCATTATTACCTTACATAAGTTTAGCAGATAATGATATAGATTTTAGGAAAAATAGAGTAATTGTAAGGGCATGCAAGTGTACAGAGGAGGAAAATTCAACAGAAATGGTAATGAGAGTTGGTGAGGCAAATACTGGGCGTTTACCTCTAGAAGAAATCTCAATAGGACCCAAAGATGAGCAGCAAAAGAAACAATTACTGAAATTGCTACAGGAATATCGCGATTGTTTTGCATTAACAACGGAAGAACTTGGTTGTTGAAAAACTGCACAAATGGAAATTAATATTCGAGAAAATAAACCATATTCATACAGACCCTACCGAATGTCACGAACTGAACAAAACCTAGTGAAGGACATTGTTGATGACTTGCTCAGAAGTAAAATTATTCGTGAATCTGACTCCGAGTATTCATCACCTGTTCTATTAGTTAGAAAAAAAAATGGAGAGCAGAGATTGTGCATCGACTACCGCAAGTTAAACTCCCTCTGCGTTAAGGATAGTCATCCATTACCTCGAATTGACGATCAAATTGATAAGTTACAGACTGGAAATTATTTTATTAGTTTCGATCTGAAAGCAGGATACCATCAGATACAACTTGCGGAGTCCTCCAAACACTACACTGCTGTCGTAACGCCTGAAGGGCAAGAAGAATACAACAGAGTTCCTTTTGGGGTAAGCAACACGCATAGAGTTTTCCAGAGGTTGATGACACGAATACTTAAGCCAATGCGAGCCAATTCGGCACTTTATCTAGACGACGTACTTTTGTATGGGTCGACTGTGAATGGAACGATAAAGGTTTTAAAAGACGTCTTAGACATTCTAAGACAGGAAGGGTTAACGCTTAACCTTAAAAAGTATAACTTTTTGAAGACGTCTGTGTCGTATCTGGGCTATGAAATAGAGCAGGGAACAGTTAACACATTGGTTGCCACGTCATACATATATGGGTGACAGTGATGTTTGCCGGTGGGCCGCGTCATACATATATGGGCGACATGGCCTGCAAGCATAACTCCGCGCCAGGCCGCGTCATACAAATATAGGCGACGACCAGTGTATTTTCAATAGGGATTCTGAAAGGTGGCCCCCTGAGAAACATTGTGATATATTTGGTTTTAGGAAATCTTTAAATTTACATATTCTACGGGCATTGAAAAAAAATGAAAGGGAAAAGTGAGAAAAAAATATTTTTTTATTAAAAAACTGCCAAATACCATAATTCTAATAGCAAAACTTGAAGATCTTTCATGAACATCATCAAAAAAAATCATAATTGAAAGTGAAAAAAAAAAAATTCTCTACATTTTTTACATATAATAAAAAAAAATAAACGACTCACAAACTAAGGCAAATCAAAATGTTTACGAATGTATTGCATTGAAACATGGGAGACCAAAAAAATAATAATTGAAAGTGAAAAAAAAAAAAATGAACGACTTACAAACTGGCAGACCACGTCACCCATATAAGGGTGACAAGTAAAAAACCTCTTTTGACAGTTGAATCACACAAAAGATATCAAAAAACGTCTAAAGCTAACGTATTTTGAAAGTCAAACTCAAAAAATCTCAAAACAAAATGTGGCCCTCTGGGAAACATACCCTGAATGGCCGTGGCACTCAATGTGTTAAGCCTGGACTTGAGAAGATTAAAGCCGTTGAACAGTTTCCTAACTCAAAATCTGTGCACCAAATATGTCAATTCCTTGGTCTAACAGGCTATTTCCGTCATTTCGTACAAAATTATGTCATAATTGCAAAACCAAAAAGACAGCATCATGGACTTGGGGAAAGTGCATTCCGCAAACTACAGGAAATTTTGATCAGTCGCCCTATTTTGAGTCTATTTAATTTTGAGGCAGCTACCTACTGAATTACACACAGACGCAAGCCAAATTGGATTAGTTGGAATATTACTTCAAAGGCAAATAGACGAACGATTACATCCAATTGCATGCTATAGTCGCCAGACTTCCGATACTGAACAGAAATATCACTCATTTGAGCTGGAAACGTTAGCGGTAGTGGAAAGTCTCCGGAAATTTCGAACATACTTACTTGGCATAACTTTTACCGTTATCACCGATTGTAATTCACTCAAAGCAGCCAGTAACAAAAAGAACCTCTTGCCATGAATTGCCAGATGGTGGCTAGAACTCCAGGAATTCACCTTCGACGTAAAATATCGACCTGGGCCACGTATGAGCCATGTGGATGCACTTAGTCGTAACCCACCAACGAACAATCAAAATCAGGAAGAGTGTGAAGTGATTCTACACATTGGGGAAGGTGATTGGGTGCTTTCAGGACAGCTCACCGACGACAAAATTAAAACTATACGTGAAGTTCTTTCAAGACCACCGGAAACAGATTATGAAAAGAATGTTTATAAAGACTATATTGCCTGCGGGACGGCCGAGTATATAGAATAACTGCGAGAGGCCTACTTTGGGTCGTTCCAAACGGAATGAGGCAGCGTGTGTTAAGAGCAGCACACGATGATTTTGGGCACTTCGGAGTCGAAAAGACGCTGAAAAGACTTTGCGAAAATTATTGGTTTCCCAGAATGCAGAAATATGTTCAACAATACATTTCCTGCTGCATTCCATGTCTTTATAACAAAAGAACATCAGGCAAAAAGGAGGGATTTCTACACCCAATCCTAAAAGGAGAAGTACCTTTACACCCGTTCCATGTGGATCATTTAGGACCTTTCCCAAAATCAAAGAAAAATAATTCTTATCTCATAGTGGGAATTGATGCTTTTACAAAATTCTTATTTTTGCTTCTCGCCAAAAGCACAAAGTCCAAACATGTTATTGAGTATTTCAAAGATATTTTTGCAACCTATGGAGTCCCACAAATCCTAATATCGGATCAAGGAAGTTGTTCTACATCCAAACAGTTCCAACAATTTTGCAGCCAGAATAACATCAAACATGTACTCAATGATGTTCCAACTCGTAGAGCAAATGGGCAAGTGGAACGCTTAAACAGATCCATTCTTGGAGCATTACTACCATCTGTAGCCGAAGAAGAGTTATGAAACGAAAGTGTACGATCCGTACAATTTGCCATCAACAATGTAACTCATAAAGCGACTGGCAAAACACCTAGCCAACTACTCTTCGGGTACACTCCAAGAAATAGTACTGACGCATGGCTGAGGGATGAAGTCTCTGAAATCCCTGCAATGTTAGAAAATATTTTAGTTGCAAGACATGAAGCGGCAGAGAAAATTCGATCGACCCAAGTCAAACAAAAGGAGCATTTTGACAAAAAGCGCAAGAAAACACAGGTTTACAAAGAAGGAGACTTAGTAGTAGTACTGAAACAAGTGCAATCCACTGGCACTAGTAGAAAACTGGATGCTTCATATAGCGGACCTATGGTCGTGAAAGTTGCATTGCCAAACGATCGATATGTTGTCAGAGATATGGAAAATTCCCATCGTACACGAACAACATCCAAGTACGAAAAGACTGTCGCTGTTGATCGAATGCGCCCCTGGTGTCAGCCTGGAGGTGTGTCAGATTCTACGGACAGGGAAAGCGGCGAAGATGGTGTTCTTTTGAGTTCTGACGATGATCAGCCGATGGATTCCTAGATATCTCGGGACGAGATATTTACAGGATGGCCGACTGTAAGTAAGTTAATTTTTTTCGCTGCATTGCAAAATCCCTATATTGAAAATGTCAAGAAAGCTCCCTCATAAAAGTAGAACTACAGTTATCCTTATCACAGATAGAAAGCTTTCATGGCTAGAATAGGCGATATGACCTTTTATTTGAATAACTATTAGGGTCCAGAATTGCTTGTCGAGCCTTCTCGAAAAGGGTTGGAGCCTTTTGCTGGTTCCGTTAGTTAAAATTGCTAGAATTCAGTCTTGAAGAAAGTCTGAAAGTGTAATCAGTATTTTGTAATCTCTGTGCCTCTGTGAAATATTTTGTATTTTGTGAATTTGTTGAAGTTGCTGAAATTATTAGGTGAGTGTTTCTCACAGAGTAGCCAAGTTGTACCTTTTTCATTGATTGATTTATTAAATTATCACCAAGATAATATTCTTGGTACATTCATATTATAGAGTACGTTGCGAGTGGTTCCCCTCGTACTCTGTGCTAGTTGTATATAGAGTGGATACTTCGCGTGTTTTCCCTTAGTATCCTAGTGAAGGCCTATAAATGCACTGTTTACCATGCTAGATACTCTATGCTAGCTATTATCTTGCTGGGGAGGTATTTCGTGCGTTTTCCCTTAATACCTATGACCCGGAAGGCTTATTTATTTACAATAACTCCTGTCAATATAATATTTAAACTGTGGTGATATTTTCTGACGAATTGGTTACTCAGATAGTTTTTCTTTTATTTCAGATGTGTCATCTCGAGCGACAGCCTGGCAAGCGCCCCATTTATTCGTTCACAATTCTATTTATCCTTTTGTACTTTATGTTAATCAGTAATTAATATTATAATAATCGTAACGTAATTATCCATTAATTTACTTTGAAGTACCCCTCACATTTGTTTTTTCTTTTTTTGATAAAACCAATAACTATACCCACCCATGCCGGTTTTGGTGAAACGGTAAATATTAATATGCTTTATCAACAAAAATTTTGCCATAATCTAATAATCTAGTGTGAAATATTGTTATGATAATTATTATTTAGTCATATTTTTTACTAATATTACTACACTATATCTTTCTCTATCTTAATGTATAGGTGTGAGTTCACTTCCAGAAATAAGAGAATTGATTCGTATTTATTTATTTATTGTAACAATGTGTCTTTGTTGCTTATAGGCATAGTTACAGTTACGGTAATTTTCAAAAAAAAAACCTACAAAATTTATCTTCCGTGGTATTTTTTCCAAAATCAACGTAACAATATGTTAAACTGTGAAGAAAAACGGAAAATGATAAAACAAGTGAAAGGTAAAAAAAATTAAACTCAGTAGAGGCACCTGTAAATTTATTACTTGTTTGGTAGGTCTTTTTCTGCAGGAATCACAAATCAGGCAGAGTAAATTTCATTGGTTGAATGAAACTAGTTTTCTGACTGTTTTCAACCAATGAAATTCGCTCTGACTAGTTTGTGATTTCTGCGGAAACAAACCTAGTATCTCCAATACAAGACCGCCAATAATAATGTAAATTATTATTAAGACATTCTTAAGTGTACTCACAGTATATTTTCGTTAACTAATATTGGTATGTATTTTATGTATTACTGCAAACTTACACACATTCTAGTCCTGAAATCACATTTTCTTAACCTAAGCTATAATTTCAAAAGCATGTATCCACTAAACAAATCAGTGATTCAGCAACAAAAAATAAATGTTCATTTTATAACGTTCGTAATGACAAATTATGCAATCATGCAGTATATTTAAGTAATTTCACATCTTGACCTAAATAAAACCCAGATATCAAGTAAAGTACAAATTCCTGTAAAAATTGAAATCATGGAACTATTCACTGGGATGCACAGCTACAGCTTATTGGCCAGAGAACAAAATAAGCTTGGTTAGTTTTTTCCTGATTAGCTCACCCTTCATTTCTTCAGTTTGCTGTTGCGCTGAGCTATATAATCTTATTTTAGCATAAATTGAAATTATATTTTTAATAAGCTGTATCTGTGGATTCTCCAATAACTCGTGCTCGAAAAGATGATCTTCATCGTCTTCAAGAAAATATGTCTTTTGTTCTGTAATTTGTCTTGTCAATTCCATGCTAAATACTTGGAAGAAATGTTTTTCTTTGAGAATTTTGCCATCATTTGAATTAATTACAAATTTATATTTTTTTTCGACACCTCTATTTCTTCTATTCAATAATTTGAAACAAGTGCCGTCCATTGACCCACCATCTTGTTCTAATAATGCTAAACATTTTGAACAATACATCATTTTTTCCAATTTTCTAACGACAAATCCAGCAATGTAAGATACGACATTTTCTGAAATGTTTGATATGCCTGGAATCAATTCTAATATTTCGTCTTCAAACTCGATGGCTTCTGGCACATCAATATTGTACTTCCTCAGGACCTGCATTTCATCAGTGTTCGTTATTGATGGCGTATATGTCTTTTTACCTGTCACACGTAGAATATGTGTTTCGTTTAAAACTGCACAGTTCCCTGTTGTTCCCTTAATATCCAAGTTCAAGCCTTTCTCCTATAGCTATTGGAGAATTGAAATGCAGTAGGATTATTGTTCCATCCGTTTCTCGCCCTAAAACAATGAAATACTTGCCATGGACCAAAAAATAATAAATATTTCTTATTAATCTTTTCATTAAGTATAAAATTTTGTAATAATTTTTATTATTGCTATAATTGTTCTTGTTAAGAATTGTAATTTTTTTATTTCCTCTATTGCTAAATACCGAATAAATACACTTAGAGGTATCTAAATCTGACCTGAATCCAAAAAATAATATTTTCAAGTGATCCTGACTGGTTTTATAGGTAAACAGATATTTCAGAGGTGCATTTTTTTTTCACATATTCTTCATAAAGACCAGAGTATGAAGTAATATTTATAAGAAATCCCAAAAATGGTGTTTTAATTCTGGTAGCGCAAATGTTTATTCCGTTTTTGTTTTTTAATTCTCTGGTGTATGACTCAGCTTCATTAAAAAGAGCTTTCCAGTAGGTATATGCCTCATTTTTTTCTTTTAATGGACTTTTGGAGCCTCGTCCAAAAAGATTCCGCGAGTTCATCAAGTCGAATAATGCATTTATATTTACACAATTTTATGAAATAAACTGATGGACCAGCTCCTTCAAAATCAGGGTGTTGAAAGTCGCATCTCAATATCTCGATAACATCAGCGACGCTTCTACTTATCATCTGAGCTGCTAAGTTCACCTTCAAATTGAATTTAAATTATGTAATTGTATATTATTGCATTGTTTTCAAAAATTATAAAATTACCTTCATTTTTGCTTCTCCCATTCCTATATGTGCTTTCCTCAGCTTTGTTCCAAACCTAAATGATTCTTCTTTTTGCACCTCGTTTTGTTGTAAAACTAAAATCCACTCTATTTCCATCAAAATCCATAAGCCTTCCACATTTGGCCCAGTTATTTCGACAATTTCAACATGTGACAGGGATCAAAAATAATGAATATTTTTGATTTGTCAGTGGGGTGCAAAAAGTAAGATTTTATATTTTTTAGGTCTGTAAAGTCAGCTCCTATTTCCTTTGCCATAGAAAAATTTGCGCTAGGACCATCACATGTAATGCAAGCTATTGTAACCCCAACTTCCTTTAATTTTATCAATGCCTGTCTAACAATATTAGCTTTTTCAGAAGTTGTAAGGCTTTTAACGAAAAAATATGCTATTGGTAATTTCCATTTTGTTTTTAATGACACTACCATCAGAACTACTTCTTTTGCGCAGTTCAAGGTATCATCAGAAATGTTAGTTCCCAAATCAACGCACCCCCAACTATTTTGTCCAACAAAATCTATTTGCTGTCTAATGGACATTTCATCGAAAATCAAACTGCATAGCGTGAGCTCATTTTTTGAGCTATTTTCTTTCGCAATATTCTCCAAAGTTTGAAAAGCGATTGAAGTAAATCCTGGTTGACAGTCGATACTATTTAGCCAAGTTCTAATTATAGATGCAGAATGTAAGGCTAATTAAAAACTTTCCTTACATATTCATATGCCTTCGTAGAATAAAATTGAAGGGTCATAGCAAAACTTCTCAGTTCCTCTGGAAATTGTTATCTGGCTTGCTTTTTTCCCTTTTCTTCATTTTGTATATTTTTAAGGCATCGACGTAAGAGTGTCAAAGGAATACCACTAAATGATTTTTCCAAAACAACAATAGCATTCTCAGATAAGTAGCCTTTGGATTATTTTTTTTTTTTGGCATTAAATATGTTTTTGCTGATCAGCAAGGTGATTTACTGTGAGCAAAAAATAAATAACTATTTGCAGTAAAATAATATGTAATTTTTTTTAGTTAGCAGAGGTAACAACAGGACAGGTTATCCATTAATTTAAGAGATTCTTTAAGAAATTCAGAACTGGCCTTACAAAAGTAAGTTTGAAAAAATACCAACATTAGGCATTTAGTAAATTACTTACGCATAAGTATGGAATATCTTGACACGTTTCCTTATCTTTCTTTGTGTGCCTTTCAGATCTGAACTGTTTGCTGAAGTAGAGCTACATGACTTATCCTTGTACATTTTCCTTTTGAAAATGATTGGATTTTTAACCAAACTTGATTTAAAAAAAAACATGACTATTTTTTTGCTATATATTGAAGTTTATTAGGTCAGTGGTTTATTCCCAACAAACAATAGGTAGTCTTATGTACCTACTTAGTCAGTGGCTATATAACAATCTTCATTTATTTACAATAGGGAAATTATAATTTCTGATTACCTGCTTGGTTCGCAATCGAACTGATCCGTTCGTGGGAATCGTGGGATTACTACTTCCTGGGCAATTTCAATTATAGAAAAATCCTCTTCTTGACTAGGGCTGAAAGAAAATAGAAATTATGAGATTCAGAATAGTTAAGGTATACCTACCCATCTGATTTATTTACAGATTTATTACTCAACATTTCTGACAATAAAAATACTAGACAAAAAAATGAACTTACGGTTGAATCAAAATCGAACTTTTATCTGAAGTATAACAGGTTGAAGCTACAGGATTTGCATCTATGGAGCTAAAAAAATTAAGCCATTTGAATTATCTTGCACACCTTCGCGTTTTAGAGATTCAGGTGCCAGTATTATTTACTATTTTATGGTCTCAAATATTAAAATAAATAATAATAAATGTTAAAAAACTCACATAGTATCTGCCATCTTTTGTTTAGCTGTTAATAGAGGCCGTATTTTAGCATTGGCATCCAAATTCAGGCTTGGAATTGCACCATGCCGTAATAACATTATTCCGCGTGGTGAAACGGTGAGATCCCCTGCTGGAAAATGGCTACTGCAAACACGGCTGGAGTTTGAAAATTTATGAATTTTTGGATCCAGTCCCAATGCTTCTACCCACAAGTCATGCCTTTTTTTTGTTACCTATTCTAAAATGAAAAGAGATATAATAATATATGAAATGCCCATTTATGTTACAAAAATATATAGGTAATTAAGAAATTGATAAGGTTTTATTGGCAAAGTATGTTTCCCTGTTTATAGCAAAACAACATCTATAACGGAAATGTTAATAAGTATAGTATCTACAACTATAATATAAGTACGAGAATACATTTACTGTACATTACTTCATAGAAGTTTAATGTTAAACTTTATATTTGTTGTTTTACTTACTTGAAATAGCAAAAATTCCTGGTATTTTGCCTTTATTTTGGCAAAATAAAACCATACAATTGGTACGCGCTCTCTTCGACCCCATAGTCATAGTCTCGGTCATAGTATAGTAGGTACTAACACAGTCACACGAAAACT